GAAATACACAAGTCCAATAGTAAATTCGATACTCGCTAGTTTTTGATAGTAAAACTCGAATACTCAGTAGTTTTTGCGCATGTACGACGGGTCCTCAGAGGGCGCTCCGGGCGTCTAGACAAATACGAGCATGCAGAGCACGTACATACAACAAAGATCTCGAATGAGCGTCCATTGTTTCCCAGGTAAGTAAGTGGCATGACGTACCCTATCCCGACTAAGACAGTTAGTTTTGATCCAGAAGGTGGCCGTCGCGCCCTCTCCTCCTCTCCGACGCACCCCAAACGATGGGCCTCGCAAAATGACGAAGCGCGAGAAGGGCGCGCAATGGCGGCTCCGACGTCAGCCGGGACGCCCGTGTGGTCGAGGGTCCACACAACCACCATTACCTCAAAAAACCAAAGCAGGCCAAGAGCCCTGGTTTACTTGGCGAACAACCGCACCCTCATCCAGCGGCTGGTGCCCGCCTCTTCCCATCCCACCTCTTTCCGACGTCCCGACCGTCTGCGACGACTTGCTGGCATCCGACGACCTGGGCCACTACAATTTTGACGACGACCAGGTCGACACCACACCCTTGTCCCCGCGGAAGGGGTGCGACGACTTGCCGAGGAAGAGGCGACATCGGGAGAATGTCGCGTCGCAGGGCGCGAAGTGGCAGTTGGACTCATCCCGCACCTCATCTCGCCCTTTGCCCGGCTGTGGCACAAAACCCATCGCCTGCGGACGCCGACCAGCTGGTCCTGCCGAACAGGGAGGAATGTGGTTGCGGGCAATCAATCAGGGCTGAGATTTCTGTTTTACAGTTCACCAGTAAGCCAGCCGTGCCGTGTATCACGACATATACTGACTGAATGTCACAGAGATTACGGATATCACTACTTGGACCTGCGAGTGCGCCCCGGCGCCCCAACAGCTCCTAGCTGCCGGGCTATTTCCATCGGCGCCGCTGCGCCCGCGTTTTGCGGTCGATATGCGGGTTTTGGAATTTGCGATGAAGCTCTTCATCCGAATCGCCCCCAACAACACGGCCTGGTGCGCCACCATCGAGAGTTTTTTAAGTGGGCTGGGGTTTAGCATGGTCAACGAGGTGCATCACCATCGGCGACAGTCGTATTGTAAAAGCTCACTCCACTTACCAGGGGTCGATTAGAAAGCTCTTCGGGAGCACCTTGGAGTGGTACACCCACTTGCGCCACCAGGTCGATCAGCACTACGACGACATCCTCGAGCGCATCCGGCGCTATCACTTCCTTGAGGCCCCGACCGCAAATGACGACTCGGATCGCAGTGTCACCCCTACGGGTCCGCAGCAGGAACCGGGCCCAACGCCCACGCACTTGCCGCCTACCGAGAATCGAGGGCGTCGCAGGGAACTGTCTTCCTGGTCTCGCCACCCTTCGACATCCCCCACTCCGGGGGCGAGACAGAAACGTCCCAGGGACACTACACCCGAGACCGCCCCCAATCTGTTCCCCGAGCCCCCACCTAGGACGTGGCCAAGCGATTACTTGCGCCGGCGTTGCTCCGTGTGTTTTGGCGGCCTGACTCATGATCCCGGTGTTAGGTATGTCACTTTGCGCTTGCCACCGCGACCGCTGAACTGATTGCTTGGCTTTTCTTCCAGTGTAGATGCGCTCGTCTGCGTCGACGCGTGCTTTACGCAGAAACGGAACACTGGGACCGTCGACCCGCCTAAAACCCACCCCGCCACACACTTTGTCTACGAGGGACTCAGCGCAAAAATGGAGGACTACGTAGACGGTGTGCGCGCGACGAAGCCGGTCACAAAACGGGCGCGTAAAGCGATAGTGGTGGAGATCGAGGACAAAGGGGACAAATATGAGCACCCCGACTTGCGTTTGCCACCGTCGGTGCTCAACGGGTGCGAGTCGTCGTTCAAAGCTGCAGACGAAAGACGTGAGAAGGCCAGCACACAGTTCTACAACGACACCGCCCTCATGGCGCTGCTTTGCCGCCATGACCGTGTCTTGTGGCTGGTGAACATGCATTCCGCGGGGAAAAACAATTCTACGTATACCTCCTCATCGAAACCCTATTCCAGCATCTACCTGCAAACATCACGGTCGGTCTGCTATACGACGTGGCGTGCCAACTAGAAAGATCCGCCCGCAAGTGGGGCTTTTTGGATCCCTACATTGATTGGTTGGCGTTCGCGGTAGCCGTGTTCCATGCCTTCGGCCACGAATGGGCTTGCCAAGTTATCTACCATCCTCGCAAGCGAGAGGGCTTCGGATTTACGAACGGTGAGGGCTGCAAGCGCTTTTGGCACTCGATCAGCCACTTGATCGCGCACTTGCGCATTTCGAGCGTAAGTCGGTTGTGCTGGAGACACGCCATATACTAATAATGTATTCGCAGTACCATCACCGGCTTTATACACTAGACACCCAGATACAGCACGCCGACGAGGCAAACCTCTTCAAGCTGGCGGAGTGGCTGTGGCGACGGACGCTGCACAGCGCGACAAAATGCCGGGAAGCTCAAGACGTAGTAGACGCGTGCGGCCACCCGCTGACGTGACTGCGAGCGCAGTGGGCGAAGCAAATGCGAGCTCAAACGAAACCTCAAGCCCGTGAGCAGCCTGCATAGTATCGCTAGACGAGTGCTGACTGTTTCATTTTCAGGTCGGTCGAAAACGGCGGGCCAGAAAGCCGTAGCAGCCGTGCTCGCATCGCGGGATGCGGTCGCGATTCGCAAGACCCAGGTCACGGAATGCGAGGCGGCCGTCTTGGACGCTATTGACGACGACAGTGCCAACGACATTGTGCACTGCAAGGTGGCCTTGGAAACGGCGCGGACGGCACTCAAAAAAGCCAAAGAACAGCTGACACGTCAAGAGCTCGCACTGGGCGTTGGCGACAGAGCCACGTTGACAAAGCTGGGCAAAAGCAAATACTTTGAGCTTCGCATGAATGCGCAAGCCCTCAAGACGCGACTCCGGGACCGTCTGCGGGCGAGGAAGTTTGAGCACGATCGAGCAGAACGATCATCCCGGCACCAGCAAACTTCAGGTATGCCACCCAACATAACATTACCAGCCGCAGTTCGAAACTGACGCGTTCATGCCAGAGCGTAAGCTTTTGGCGCACACAGATTCAGCCATGAAGCGGCGCGAACCCCAAATCTCACGCTTAAAGAACGACTACAACAAGCTGTGCGACGCGATCGACCTGGAAATCAAACATAAATGCGCACCACGCGGGCCGTGGCTCCTGAGCGCATTGAAAGCAAGGCGCTGTACGCGCTGGATGTCGATGACGCGATTTGGCAGGATGTCGGTCTGCAAGACGAGGAGGAGCAAGAGGTTCCCCTGTGGCTGAGCAGCAACACGGTGCAGAGCGGGATACGGGCGATGCTGGAGCTGGATCGATCCAAAGAGGAAGACTGCCAGCTGGCGAAGGAGTGCGAGTCGTTGCGGGTGTGGTTTGCGGAGGAATGGACGGTCGTTAATGAGGCGATGAGTTGCGCAGGTGCATCGGTTTATTTACAACGCAAGCAGACAGTTACTGACTAAGACGACTTAGCTGACGACGGGGACCGCTATCAGTTTTTCATACGGCGGGAGCGCCTCCTGCGCTTGTGCGGGACATGGGGCCAATATATGCCGGTCGATGCAGCAGGGGATACGCCATGGGGCCCGAGCAACGAGGAGCTGCTGGCGTCGCTGCTGGAGAGTCGAAAAGCCAGACGTGGGGAGGATGCATATGGCGCTGCTGAGGAAGAGGCGGAGGAGGAGGACTTCGAGACGTTGGATGCGATGGATACCGCGGGGGCCTACCAGGAGGTGTATGAGTCTTATGGGACCGACAGCGATGGCGACGACGATTCGGAATAATACTATCAACGTGTCTGTACTATGTTTCTTATTTTTTAGTGAAGCCGGATCGGGATGCAAGCGGTCTCCCCACACTCGATTAGGCTGACAATGGCAGGCCACCTAGAATAATTGCCGAATCGGACGACAATGGCGGACAGGCCATCATGAAAATTCTCGAGGCCACCGATCACTCCAGCAAATTATCGAGCGATCGCAACGACTATTACCGAAGTGGGAGAATAATGGAGGTGGGTGGCATTGCATGGGGGGGGTTGCTGCTTCGTCTTAAAACTGTACCGCTCCTGTCCCCACAACCCGTTTACCCACCGCCCAGATGTCTCCTCCTGCATCCAAAGCTTGCTGCTCCCGTAAAACCCTCCCTACCTTGACCCGCTCTGGATTCGATCACAAGCTGTCCCGCTGGCGTCGTCCTAATCAATCCCCATCGCCAGCCGCACCGAGCGCAGTGCCCAACTGCTACCGTGAGTGTTCTTGCCAAACCTTTCTGAGGCCGCTCATCCCTTATTAATTGCCTAGCTTGCCGTTATGATATCTCTTCTCAATTCGACTACAACATTCTGCCCGGTTACGTGGTCCCGGGCGTCTGGATGTCCGCACGGAGTTTATCATGTTATTCCCAAATTTGTTCAAGTACATGTGCTGCCGGTGGCGCATGTGCCGTACTCATATATCCCATTAGCTGTCTCCTGTGCCCAGTACGACGCCGCATCCGCCGAGAACTGCGGCGAAGGCTTTGAATGTTTCTGGAATTGAATGGGTTACCCGCAGGTACCTCCTCGCTCCGAGTGTGGAAGATTTGCTGACTTTTTTGTTGCAGGTTGCACTTAATACCGTTTTTGATTTACATGTTAGTTTTACATTTCATTTGTGAACATTGCTTGTTGTCTCTCTTGTTGGGCGGAATTTATTGCTATTTGCGTACTTTGCTGTGTTTACGTTTTTTTTTTTTTCTGACGGCGCTTATGAGCACACTTCCTTTCGGGAAGCATGGTTTGTGCATGTGTGGCAGCCAGCGAGATCGTCAAGTTAGTGAAAAGATTTTGAGAAATGAGGTGCTAAGGATGAGCGCTAAACGTCGGCAGGAGATAAAGGGAGAACAGTGATGAATATCAAAAGATTTATACGAAAGGAAATAAAACGACCTCAGTGGGACTCGAACCCACGCCAGCAGCGGAATCCATTTTAAACAGGGTGTGATGGTCAGCCGGTGCTATAACCGCTAAGCCATGAGGTCCTACACAAATTTGCAATATTACAAACTACATTAAGCCGCGATAAGTGATAAAACCAGCCTGCCATCGCACCACATACAAACAACCGCTACTGTCCCGAAAAGGGAATTCTGGTTTAAACAATCCTAAAAAACATGTAAGTCTCCAAAAACAAATAAGCCTCCAAAAAACAAATAACATATGTACATGTGCAAAAAATGTAGTACTTATAAAAAATTGTATTTTGTAAAAAATACACCAAGTCAGACAAGTTAAAAGGGGTCAACATGGGAGCACCCGGTAGGCCAATAAAAATACCCAGGAGCTCCCGTACATTGCTGAAGGAGGGCTGGGTGCTCCCGACCACATATGGAGTGTGGGCGGGAGCTCCCGCATGCACATATCTGAGCGCGGCGCGTCGTACCTACAGCAGACACTGAGACAGCGAGGGGCAGAACGGGATGGACAAAAAAGCTGCAGCCCATGAAATGCGGGCGCCGGGAATCGGACCCGGTCTGCTGTTGCCAAGGCACCTCAACTTTTATTGAGTACAGCCGGGTATGCACCACGCCCGCGTACTCCCTGCTTTGGATTCCCCTCCATCCGCCACCGTGGCCCGTAAATTGACAAGCATGGAGAGCGACGATCGGTGCGCATTCCTAGAAATCCCTCGAAGATACTGTACGTGATTCATTTCTCATGACAGTATTCGTTGTTAAACTCATCTGGGGAAATTCGGAGCAAAGGCAAGCAAAAAAAAGAAAAAAAAAGGTTTTGTACCAGACGATGCGGGCGCCGGGAGTCGAACCTGGTTCTGCTGTTGCGAAGATGTAAACTGCCTCGAATATCGAGGACAGTGGTGTACCGTACACCACACCCGCGTATTCCCAGCATTCAATATCCTTCCATCCGCCAGCATGCCCCGCAAAATCGTCATGAGGGGAGAGCTGTGAGCTCCCGTGCACATTCCTAAGAATCCTTCAGGTTCGAGTTCAAATATATACAATACCGTATGTGGTTGATTTCTCGTGTCAGGGATTCGCTCTTCAGCTCATCCAGGGAAATTGCGAGCAAAGGCATGCCAAAAAAAAAGAATCATGGAATATGTAGTGCGGGCGCCGGGAGTCGAACCCAGTCACACTGTTGGCAGTCTCGCATACAATGTTTACATAAAATACAGCGGTGTACCATACACCACGCCCGCTCCCTCCCTCCTCTCAATTCCCCTCCATCTTGCCTCCATCTGCACTCATGGACAATGTGCGTACTTCCAAATTTCACGTCGAGACAGGGCTCGCTGGGAATCTTCGAAGGTGATCGATGATCCATGCCACGGTGGGTCCGAGTTCGAAGGTGGTAGTATAAATCTGATTCCAGTCTGGCATTAAATGCGCGCAAAAATGACCGTGCCCCGGATGCATGTGGGCGCCAGGAGTCGAACCCAGTTATGCTGTCTGAAGTGATAGCCATAGGATAAAGTACAGTGGTGTACCGTACACCATGCCCACTTCCTCCCTCCTTTCAAGATCCTTCCATCTGCGAGCGTGCGCACTCGCGATCCAGCGGTCTGGCAGGAAACTCGGGCCGGCAGCACGTCTCTCGAATTTCGTGCCGAGTTCGGCGCAATAGATACTGAAAAACAGCACGGGTATACATGCCTTCGGTATAACATGGCAGCCGGGCAGAAATCCGCGTAAAAGGATTTTGAATCCCCGAATGCGGGCGCTGAGAGTCGAATCCGGTTCTGCTGTCTGCAATTTCTGATTGAGACTTGGTGAGAAAGCACAGTCGTGTACGGTACACCACACCCGCTTCCTCCCACTTGGCAACATTCTTACTGTATAATTACATTCACTCCGGCCATCGCACGTTACTCCCCCCTTGGTCGATGGTATTTGTCACGCATCACCCAATCTACATTTTGTGTCACGCAGCCCTCGAAATTCCGCAAAATTGTGTCCGTGACATGTAAAATCTAAAATTGCCATTCCGGCGATCGACATTTTCGCTTGCATCACGCGCAATTTTGCCGTGCTCTAATGGTCGAATTCGTAATTTGAGTCACACGCCACCCCCTGGTCGGATTGAATGAAAAAAAATACAGTACATTTATGACATTCCCACTCTACAATCCTCTTATTCCTCTCCATGCACCCAAAAAGGAATCAAATCGCAGCTCACTTCTGTTCCAATAAATTACAAATTTGAATGGTAAGGCACACAAGGCACACAAGGGCAAACACAAAGGAGGGGCACTATTCAACATTACATTGAGTCCAAACAAACAGCGGGATGTTGGTCATTTGTGATAACCAGATTTGCTCCTTCCCCCCCTTTCAAGCTTGTTGGACCTCCGGTGGATGTGGACTGATCTGGGAAGCCAATCCCTGTAAGTCTCTCATTAACATCCACAATTTGTTTTGCCTGTGATGAATGTTGGAACAACGGAATCGCTGTATGCCACAGCTCTGCTGCCTTTTCTGTGTCTCCATTCTGCTTTGAGATATTGCCTAGCTGGACCATGCATTCCGCTCTGCTGCGGTGGATGTCCATCCATGTAAATCCTTCTAGAGCAACACTGAAGAGGCTGGTTGCTGTATCCATATCATTATCCGCCAGGAACACATCTCCGAGGAACTGCAGTGCCATATGGACCTCAAGCCGCTGTTTAAATTTTAGACTGTGGGCCAGGAATATGACTGTCCAAGTAGATGAAGGAGATTGAGTTACTGGATCCCATTGCCTTATATCACCCAGTTTTGCCAAACAGTAGTTCAATGCTTCGATATCTTTCCCCCAAAGTAATGCCACACACTGGTGAAATAGGCTCCTTGCTGATTGAAACTCAGCTTCTCTCAAATTGAGAGCTGCTCGGATGGTTTTACAGTAGACCATTCTAGATGACTGTCCTGTCCCGAAGAGTGATTCAGCCCTGTGAAGATGTTCTAGCACCTTGTCCACTGATGTCCCAATTTCAACATCAATCTGGGCAATGTTCATTGAGGCAAAGGCATATGCATATGATTCTTGCTTGTTGAATGTAGCACCAAGGATTTGAGTATGAATATTATAGGCCTCCATATATTCAGATTTCAGCCGCTGGACCTCGGCCTGGTCGATCATGATGTTGTGGTCTACCCCCCCTCCAGACATGCTACAAAGCTTGAGCAGGTCCCTTGCTCCTCCAAATAGGTGGCTACTCTGCTGATAACTGCCCAAAGATTTCCAGCAGACAGATTCAATTTGCAGAGCCTGGGCTTCCCTGTATAAATTTCCAGAAACCTTGGCCAATCTCTGTGCCTCATTTGCATGCCTCTGTGCACCAGAATAGTCACCAATGCGCCACTTGTTCCATGCCATTGTAACCAACAAGCCACACTGTCTCTTCATGTTCCCACTTGAGATTGATAACTCCAGTCCAGTTTGATAGAAGTTCATGGCCCTAGGAATATCATTGTGGATGGACCGATAATATTCGGCCATGGCATGGTAAAATTGGCCTATTAGGCGGAGGATTTCCTCAGCATCCAACAACAAATAAGTCAGATATTCAACCTACATTTCAGATCTGAATCATCAAGCTGTGTGAAACATTCTAAAGCTTGATCCAACAGTTGGTCTGCATTGGGAATGTGATGGCGTTCAGTGCCAGCAAACAGGGTAGTGATGAGGGAAACCTGCAGTGCAGGGTCTTTGAGGTGAAGCAGCATATTGGGAATGCGATGAATCAAATGGCCCAGCCCATCTCGGGTATGCCTACTGAACTTATCAAACTCGCATATACAGTGGATCACATCAGCCATAGCACTGGAATCATCCCAGTGATGGGCCAGCAGATTCTGCATGTGGTTCTCTAGAATTTCCTGGATATTTGTAAAGTTTGCTGTTATCCGAGCTACAATGCCAGATGCTGGAGCAGTCCCAGAATATTCTGTGTAAATCTTGATAAATTTGTGAAAATGGTCCAGCATGGTTTGCACACTCTGTGGTGTAGGTGGGTGCATTTTCTGCATATATTGCCGGATCGGTGCTAGTACTTTCAACCGTTTCTGGTCATCAAGGTATGCCAGTGAGGTTCTGAGCAATGCAGCTTTGCAGGCAAGCACATTATCAAGGGGTAGCTTGCTCTGTAGAAGGTCGGTGTTTGAGAGCCCATCCGGAAGGATTGACAACAGGCTCAACAAGTGAGTGGCATGTGGCAAAGATGTCACTCGGGGGCTTTGCAGTGACAGTGAAATTGACAAGTCCAAATTTGATCCCTTGTCGTGGCCCTCGGAGAGAAGTGAGGTGTTTTCTGTCTCCCAACGATTCAATACACTAGTGAGGCCTTCGTAGTCCACCAAATGAGCAATGAGGTTAATTGCCAGAGGCATGTGATCCACGAGGGCCAGGACTTTGTCAATGTCCTCCATAGAGAAACCTTCATCCACAATGTCAATCATAGTTTTCCGTGCTGCTTCTTGTGTCAGAGGGACCAATGGTGCCAGGAAAGGATGAGTCCATTGGACTTTCGATGGCCTTTCTGCCCCTCGCATTGTGATCTGAGGATCTTCAATTTAGGGATATCAGTGCTTGGGCCTCACTTACTATCAATGCCAAATGATTTATATCTGTAAGCAGGGACAGGAACTGCTCAAGGTCGCCGCGTAACTCTGTCAGTTCCCAGACCGTCTCCAGATTGTCCAAGATCAGCAATGAGGGGGGGCCACCAGCAAAATGGCGGATAACTGGCTGGGTGAGATCCTTCCCCGGCTTCAGCCCTAGGTGTGCCCCAACAAGAGCAGCAAGTTCAAGAATGTTTGATGCAGTGTCACAAACCACAAAAACCCGATGCTGCTGGTACCTGGAGCAGATTTCAGGGTGATGGACAACAGCCCTTGCTAGGCTCGTTTTTCCCATTCCACCAGCTCCTAATATTGCTATCCTTGGTGAATCCTCCCCAAGGGTTTGCAGCATAGCTGAAACTTCAGATTCTCGGCCATAGAATATCTTGGGGGCAGATGGCAGCAATGAAAGTGAAAGTGAACTCAAGCTAGATGACAATCAGTATATATTTGACAGGAATCTGAGGACAAGCCAACCTGTTCATGCTCCGGGAAAGCATGCTGCTAATCTGTGTGGCCCGAAAAATGAGATTCCTGTATTTGCAATGGCGTGAACCACTCACGAAGGATTCTCTGTCAGAGCTCTGTCCATCCGAATGGGCTGAAATCAACTCCAAAACTTTCTGGTGTGCTTCATCTGCATATTTCTGCATGTCTGTGACCTTCTCCAGAATGCCTATCCCACCAATCTACCAGAGTTATGATATGATTGACCTCACAATATTCACTATAAATGTACCTCGAAGACCTCAAGTGCTTGCTCAAGTCCCAGATCACAGGACTTCAATAATGTGTTCATTTCCCCTTGTCGGAAGAATTGCCGAATTCTGCTTTTCTCCTGCTGCGCTTCAAAAAAGGTGTAGATTTTGTGCAGGGTCCTGCGCAAAGGTCAGAAGCAACAAAAGTGGATATGAAGAAACTTTCTCAGTGAATTTCCCCAGATTATCGGATTGTTCGGGGGCTAATCCAACCCCGGGATCAGAGGTTATGTGGAGTTGAATGATGGCATAGAGCAAGGTGTGTATTTTCTCCAGCATTTGTGCACATATCTCCTTGTTCTTTTTGACAGTCTACGATACCATGTGAGCTTCAATATAGAGAGATTCATTGGGGGCATTGACCTGGGCAGCAGTCAACAGAGACTGTATCATGTGTGATATAGGTTCTGAGAAGGGTGTATTTAGAGTCTTCGAAAGCACTTCCATGGTGGGAAGAGCTGTGTTCAGGCACGTGATCACGTGGTCGAACCGAATCTGTGTGGAACCGGGCTGGGAAGGCATTTTTGAGTGATGAAAGTCTTGAGGGAACACCTTCTTTTATGAGAGTACCGTGTGACATTCATAGCTCATTGGCCACCAATTTTATCTTTCATCCCGGGACCAATTCATCTGTCATCCGACCCTGTCGGTACGAAATGATGATCATGTATATTCAGAATTAGTTCTCGCACTCATATGCATCCTACTAAGTCAACCTTGATGCTGACGAGATGTGTGGAAGCACTGGTGTTCGAGTGTCGGTAATAGGACATCTGACATGCGTTGGTCGAAATATGTGAAGTTTAGCTGAGCATCGGAAAACAAGGTGGATATAGCTGGAT